TCCAGTGAGGCCTCTCTTTCCTCAGCCCTCTCCAGTGAGGCCTGCCTCATAGCTCACTTCTTCGTGATTCCCTCCTCTCCAGCCTGTTTCCTTCCTGGCTCTCCATCTCCTAGCAGTGTGCCCTTTGTATTACTTCTTCCTTTCTATCCCACCATGCTTCCTCCTCAGATCCTCAGTGAGCATCAGCTAGGGGCCATGTGATGGAGATTTTGTCTGAGCCATTTCCTCTCTGTCCTGTCCTCTCCCTCTCTACACATCCTCCTTTCCGTCTTCTGTGCATTTACCTGTCCTTCCCATGACACACACACACACACACACACACACACACCTACCTACCTTTTCTTTTCTCCTCCTCCCTATCCCTTGCTCTCAATGGGGATCAAATCCAGAGCCTTATGTACAGCATGCCAGCACCCACCACTTTATTATGCAACTGCACCCTGGCTACTGCTCTCTTTTTAAATCCCCGGAGTCCACCCAGATGTCAGATAGAGCATCTAAACCATGTTGTCAATGAAATCTAAAACCCAGCTTTTCCCAAACTGGACTCATTGTTTTCACTCTCAAATTGATTTTTTTTCCATCGCATGATTTCTACATTTAGCTGATTATATTAACTAACACCTGGCTACTGGAGTCTCTAAGTCATATGTAGCTACTTATGACATACTTCCACAGTCAGCTGGTAAGCCAAACCTCAAATTCCTCCTGTGCAGAATCTGCCTCATTGTCCTGCAAACCTTCTCATGCTTAGCCGTTTACCTTTGTCTCCCGTCTTGTCTTACCAACTACTCTCCCCATGATGCTACTAAGACTACTCTTTTTTTTTTTCACCAAACACAAATATGATCATGTATCTTCTGGCCACATTGATAACCTTTCCATGTTTTACTCCAGCCAACAAGTTATAGATGATGCTCAAAATTTTAAATACTTTTCTCTGGGAAAAAAAAAAACAAAAAATAAAAACCTTGGTCCGTAGTTGGTGGAGTTGTTTGGGGAAGGTTGTGGGGAGAGGTACAGCCTTTCTAGGGCAAGCATGTCACTGAGAGCAGGCCTCAAGGGGTCACAGCCTTATGCCATTTCTCTGTTTCATACTTTCAGTTGTAATGGTGATCTCTCAGCTTCTTGTTCCACAAGCTTGCTGTCATTTTCCCACTGTTATTGTAAACTTTTTCTTTGGAGCCATAAACCAAACTAAATTCTTTCATCTGTAAATTGCTCTGGGCCATAGTGTTTTGTCACAGTATCAGAAAAATAACTACTGGCTTGTTCAAACCATCCTCATGCTGGTCTCTTCTTAATTAACGCTGATTTCTTAGCTCCAACTAACTAGCATCAATTGTCCCAGTATATTCTCCTATTTTTGACTCTAAAGTCAGAGCCACATGGCTGAAGCTGCCGAGTTCTGATGATTTCTGGAGCTGGAACGTGACCCCCTTGTTATCAAATTAACACCGGCTCTCTGTTTCCCAACACCTTCACAGCCTAAGCTTGGCTGTCCTGGAACTTGTCTTATAGATTGAGCTTGAACTCAGAGATGTTTGCCTCTGTCTTCTGGAATTAAAGGTGTGAAATACCAGGCCTGGATCTAAGCTTTTCATGGCCACTGTTTCTCAAGATCTGGATCAAAAGCTTGTGTCCTCCAATTTTGGATTGTAGTTTATTCCAGACTAAAAGTCTAAATGAAAACAATAACCAAGTAATAATAACACTTAACATGATATATCTATTCCTTTTTCAATGCCAAGTGCATAATCAATAACCTCAGTTGGGTGGGATCTTGCCCCAAACTCGCCACTCCCTTAATCCATATTCAAACCAGCACACTGAGTTTATTTCATACATTTGTTTTTGTTTCTCCACCATTTTCATGTGACTATGTCCTATTATGACATTCCATTCATACTTATAACCAAATAAAGGGTGGAGTTTTATCTTTGAAAACTGACCTGGCGATTAGACAGCATATTCTTCCCCATGAAACCTGGATAGCATCTATCAAACACTGTAGGAAAGTTTTCACTATGAACTATAGAAGGGACAGTCAGAAACCAATTGCTACAGAAATGAAGTAAGACGGAATATTTCAAACTGTCTAAACTATTTTCTTAAAGAGACTACCTCCACTGCCAGAGATCACACAAAGCCTCCCGGCTGATCATCAGGAGGCAATTCTTCACATGCTTGGTGATTGTGGCTTCTACTCTGGGGGGAGAACCACCCTCTTCTATACTTTCTTGTGGTTTTATCTTAAAATTTTCTACAGAACAAGGTTCTTTTGGTATTTAGAATTTTTCTTTATATTTTAAAAGATTATTAATATTTTGATCTTACTGTTGATGGACTGTTGTCATATTCATTCCGACTGTATTTTCTGTGGGTTTTTTTTTTTTTTGGCTGATATATTGTACACATTTCCTCACCAGAACTTTCCTTCAGTTTCCTCACCATCAAAATCATCATCTTCTTTATCAACATCTTATCTCCTCCACCACTTTCACTTTCATAGTTGTCATCTTCATGATCATCAAGGGCATTATCATATTCTTCTTCTTCATCATCATGATGACCATCATGTTATCACAATCTCCTTCTCCTTTTCCTCCTCTTCCTCCTCCTCTTCTTCTTCCTCCTCCTCTTCTTCCTCCTCCTTTCCCTCCTCCTCCTTCTTCTGCTCCTCCTCCTCCTCCTCCTCCTCCTCCTCCTCCTCTTCCTCCTCTTACTCCTTTTCTTTCTCCTTCTCCTACTTTTTCTGTGCAAGGTTGTTACCACTTCCATGGGCAAACCACTTTCCAGACATAGTTAAGAGTTTCATATCTTCCTCAACTTAAAATTTTTGAATCTGTGTCTTCGTCTACAGATCCTAGCTGCTGCACACAGGCTCTGAACCACATTTCAACCTTGAGACCACACGTGGTTATGTCATTTCAAAGATTCCAAGGGAAACTGTTGGTTGTATGGACATTCTCAAAGTAGCAGGGTTACTTTAATTGGGCTGCCTTTATAATTCATTGCCTCTGCCTCCATGATGTGCAATTTGTACCAAACTCCTAATCTGATCATTCTTAATAATAACTGGTACTCATTTTCAACATTATCTGTCTTAAAGTGATAAACTTTGTTGGTCTTTAGTTCGCAGCCAAAAAAAAAAAAAGTAGTTCTGAGGCTTTAGAGGGCTCACATGCAAATCCATTCATGCACTCCATTGAAAGAGAAGCCAGACAGAGAAAACAGACTACAGTTCCTCAGAACATTTGATGTTTTGCAGAAGTTAAATTATAGAGATTAAGCAATTTGGCTTAGTGCAACCTAGCTCACACAAGAACCCATATCAAATGTATATCTTAAAATGTTTTGCCCTTTCACTGTTCCTCTGTAGGCTGTGCTGTATACTTGAACACATTCCTAAAATTTGTATGCAAGGAAGAGGATATTGCTGCCTTGATCTTGTGTGTTTGGACTGCAGGCTTCGTAGTCATGCTGCCTGGAAGGACTCTTGCTATCTTCACTTGTGATGTTCAGATCTTGAACGAATCTCTTAAGACCCTTCAGCTTTGGGCTATTCATTAGATGCTGTGAGAACTTTAAGACTACAGTTCCAAAGCCTTTAGAGTGGTGTGCTGGCAGCTTGTCAGAGCTCAACACAGGTGAGGTTATTCCCTAAGCTCTAGTTGCTGTTCATTTCCAGTAATGATGTGGTGTATCAAGAGCTTGAAAGAGATCATTTATGTGGTTAGACATACTGACTTCTGTGCTGGGAACAGTCACTCCTATTCCCTTTGCAGGCAGCAGTAATTGGAAAGTAGGAAAAGTGGAAGGTGGTCTTACATCTGAGAATGCCAGCTGAAGATGGGAAGATAAGAGAATGTTTTATATCTTACGATCCTTAAACCTCCAATAGAAAAGAAGAAAGGCTAACAGAAAGCAAATCATGTCTTTGCCCTTTAGGTAGAATGGATAAAGAGGAAGACAAATAAAAGGACTGGTTTCTCATGCAGAAATTTAGCCTTTTAGGAAGAGAAGGTAAACAAATCAGGATGTACATGTACAAAGTGCTACAAGAACTTATTCAGTGCCATTGTTTACAAAGCACCATGAAGGCATTGGTCTGCGATTTTCTTCTGTTTTTACTAGAAAATCAAATATCCCATTTTTGTGTAGGTTAGTGGTCCAGGCTGTAAATGGTTAAAGCATCTTTTAAGAAGCATTTAAAGTAACCTATCTGAGCTCTGCTGTACTTCACTAGTGCTACCTCACTTGGTCACTAACTAAACCGTCCTAAACCTATCTCATACTATTATTCCAGGTGGGAACTGAAACCAGACACAGTAAGGAACTGGCCAGGCTTGTGCAGTTAATGAGTGGCAGGTTTCGTAGTTGGGACTAATGCAGTTTCTATTGCAACATCACACCTGTGAAAACATGTAATTCCTATACTGTGGCAATTTTATAATTCTCATTCTAAAAAGCTCGACAGTGTGGCTTATTCATATCCTATTTTCCATGTGAGAAATTCATATCAGCGTTAAAAATAAGTATATACTCAAATAAATCCTATGGGGAATGGGCACTGGAGAGATGGCCCAGCAGGTAAGAGCACTTACTGCTCTTGCAGAGGTCCTGGGTTCAGTTCCTAGCACCCACATGGCAGCTCACAACTGTCTGTAACTTCAGTTCTTTGAGATCTGATACTCTCTTTTGGACTCCATGGGAACATGTCACTCATATGCATGGACACACATACACACACGCACACAAACCTAAAATAAATCTTTAAAAACCAGTACACTGTTGCTTTACACAACTACAGAGATACAATCAAGCCAGTCAACTTTAACATGGGAGGGCCTTCACTGACTCTTCCCCTAACTGAAGAGGTATGGCCCATTGGTGGCTTCTTGAGAAGGGAGAGTAAGTTTTATTTAATGGTGTGGTTCCTAGTAGGTCAATGACAATATAGTGAATGGCCCCATACCAAGGAGTAATGGACAGCATAAATTAAAGTCAGTGGGTCATTAATGGTAGAGGAAGAGGAGAAGGAAAAAAAAACAGAAAGTGGCTGGGGTTTTTGGGAGGTGAGGGTGGATTTGGAAAGAGTTGAGGCTGGGAATTGTAGTAAATATCTAACCTGGTAAGGTTGATAGTTGTTACCCTTCCCCCCCAGCCCCAGCTATACATGTCTTCCTAGTTTATTCTTTAACAGCATTGACAAGCAATTACTTGAATAGTCTGTATTTGGAAGTGTGAAAGGTCACCTGATGAGTTT